CATGACACTAGAGGCGTGCCTTGACTGGGTGCAACTCGACCGAAGGGTCCCCGATCTGGTTGTAGTAGCTTATAGAGCGGCTGGGAATTTCTGACTTCTCGTCTAAGGCTTTGGTCAGGGCCTCGATGAATTCAAGTCCGGCCAGGATACGTTTGAGATTCCTGAGTTGAGCATTCATCCACGTGGTCTTGGGCCCTTCGACGAGACACAGTGCCTTGGGCATAACTGACTGGTAAACAGCGCGCATCGTTGTACGACGAGAGGCATTCGCGACATCAGAGTTCTATGTTATGCTGAATTGCCGCCTGGTGCCGAAGACCTCACACTTACCGATGCCTTGTGTGGGGCATTGCCGTTGGCAAATACATACCTACCAGTGCAGTACAGGGTTGGAGAGCAATGGGAAACAATGATAGATACCTTGGTGATATCACTCACATAACCAGCAGACAGGTCCTTGTCTATGGGCTCTGATTGGTTCAAAATGATGTCCAGAGCCTTTTAGGCAACAATTCCCCACTCCGTGCCTGGCTGGCCATGGGCTCCTTGAACACGGACAACCAGGCTATCGCGATGTCATGGCCTCTGATCACTCGGCAGGGCCTACGACCAAGGATTGATGACAAGGCGCACTTGAAAGTTATGGGCAATTGGCGACCAACAGCATGCGCCAGGCGGCCGGCGGCTGTCTGCTGGACTTGGTTACATGACCACTTCTCAGCGCAGCCCTGTCGAGCTCATTTCTCGTTTCACTCTTCTGACCTTCGCCTGCCTTCATCGGCGAGCTTATATTGACTATAAGTATCCTATCTCTCAGCTTTTCTGGCTGCGCTGCGACATTGTCGTCTCAAAACTCACTCGCACGACTGCAACGCTCGCACAACACACCAAGACCGTCCTTACCAGTCGACTCCTAACACCTCGTAGACCTGCAGCAATGGAAGGAGTCATCTGCAACAAAGACGCCTGTATGGCGAGAGTTTTAAGCATCTTTCCAGACATTGACCTTCAAATGTCTGGAGAAGATAGCCGCCAACGTCAACTATGATCCCATCCGAACCGTCGATGCCATTTTGGAAATCATCGAGAAAGTTGGATCGTACCCGAAGGCATCGTGCCAGAGAAATCTCAGGCGGATGCGTGAAGAATCGACCGAGGATGAGGACGCAAACACTCTCCGCCACTATGCTAAGTCAAATAGAAAGCGGAGGACGTCGAAGCAATACGTCAATAAGCCGTAAGTCTGATTCATTCCTTCCCTTAATGCGGCTTCTATATTCAATGTCAACGAAATGGCTACTGCGTCCTTGCTGTTATGCACCTCGTCTATAGACACTAACACTGAGCATAGGAGGGAAATTTTGAAGCACGATACTGCCCAAGTTTCTCAATGGCCCGTTCCGTTGATCTCTGATGTGCTAAATCGCCTCCCTATCGGCTTTACGCTCAAGAAGAAAAAGACTCCAACATCG